ATACACTGGTATAAAAATCTAAATTAATAAATACAAAACCTTTCTGGGAATCATTGCAGACTGATAAGATATCAAATGCTATTGAACGATATGATTTCAAGAATCAAAACGCTTTCATCTATCTTTTATATTTGGCTATATTTGTCATTTTCCATTTATACAGTGAAAACCGACTTTTTTCACTAAAAACCGGTTTTTGAATTCTATATTTCCGCCAAAAAAAAAAAACGGTTTTTGAAAACCGACAACCCTATTCCTAATAGATATCCATAATTTTGATTATCATTAGTAGTGAAAATTTTATTTCTGTATTTTATTACCTGGGTTTCATACAAAGTTCTCAACGTCCAAACTTCAATTGGAGATTTGATTTCTTTCCCTGTATTTGCTGATAAGACTTGCATCAATCTGTGATATCTTGAAAACTTCTCCTGGAACTCCTGTGAATTTTGTACACGTGATGTCTCGTTGAAGAATGCTGGGCAGTTTGCCCATAAGTTGACCTAGAAAAATTTGAAAATGATACATCTCTGTTTTGTTTTGGATTTGTTTATAGTAATTTTACCGCTAAATTAAGTTTTTCATCTGGTACATAAGTAACAGGTCTCCATAGAGATGCCAGTTCTGGTTCTCTGCATCTTCTGCCATTGCAACCTCTCTAAAAGGTAATGGATTAGTTTTAGAAACTCCTGTTTTTTGTAATATATAGAATAAAAAAGAATAATGTATGAGTGTGAGTAGATTATAAATTGTAGAGAGTGTAATTAGAGACAATAAACGAGTAATTAGACATAAGGTGATTAGGAGTTACTTTCGTTTTTTTTACCTCTCTGCCCCATTGTTGCTCCTGAGCAGGTGGCAAAAGACCTGCCAGGTATGCCAGGGCACTCGCCCTGGTCCTAGGATATTCTGTAGTAAATGTCCTTACAGTTTCATAAGTTGGCATATTGAAAACTCCTTGAAATAAATCACTGTATTTGCTTCGAACTGCTTCACCAAGTTTGAACATGTGCAGGACACCATCCTAAGGGAAATTTGATTAAATATTTTAAATGCAAAACTTTAAGGGATAGTTTAACTGCAATAATATAAATATAAGGAATATTTAACTACAATTTAGCACCTGATATATTTCCTGATTCTAAAATAGTTTAGTTAGGTGAAAATTATCTACTGGTACTTTATTAATTTTTTTACCATTTCTACCTTGATTGTCTCACAAAGTAGATTTTTGTTATATCAAGGATGATAAGTTTCTAATCAAATTTTTGTAAATTCTTATATCTGAGTTTTTTCAACTTACATTAGTCAAGTGTCCTTTTCCAATAGGGTACCAAGTTTTATTAACATTTTCATAATTGGGAAAAGCATTCATTTCCAAATCATCCGGAGTACGGTCTCCATGTCTGTACATCTGAAAAGAATATTAATTTTTATATGGTCAATTAATATATTAATTAATTAACTTCCCGTAGGGTAAGTTATAGTAATCGCAAAAAAATCGAAAATAAAATTTTTTATATATCTTTACGTTTTAGAGGTTTCTGAACATTTTGGCATACCTTAGAAAAAATGGATGTATGTGTGTGTGTGTGTGTGTGTGTGTGTGTGTATGTATGTATGTATGTATGTATGTATGTATGTATGTACGTGTGTGTATGTATGTGCGGATACAAATTTTCGTCGACGATTTCGGGAACACGGATCAACCGATTTGAATAATTCAAAAAACATTCGATTCGTATTGATAAGGAGACGTGCTGATTAGTTTTTGGCGAAGGCAGGTCTAGCCGTTCCGGAGGTACGGGGCAAAAAGTGCCGAAAACGGTAACTCAGTTTTTAAGAGAACGGAGCGTCCGATTTGAATAATTCAAAAAACATTTTACTTGTATTGATAAGATGAAGAATTGGTCAAATTTTCATAAAGGCAGGTCTAGCGGTTTCGGAGATCTAACGAAAAAAGTAAAAAAAAATGCCATTTGGCGGTCAAAAATGATCATTAGACATATGCACATCAAATTTTCAGATATTTTATAGAGATTTTAACAATAAGTATGAATTTTGTTTATTTTCCTATGGGTTCCGTACCAATGTTTACCCGTTAGACAGCGACGCCGAGCTTACGCGCTTTATATTTTGTCTCTATGCAGTTAAAGCAGTACAATTGCTTTGAAAAACAAGTTCAGATCTTCCAAAATATGTCAAAATAAAGAAAACATTTATTTTTTCAAAAAAAAAAATTTTTTAAATTTTTTTTTTAAAAAAATTAAAAAAAAAAATTTTTTTTTTCAAAAAAATGTAATTTTTTGTCCAATTTATAGTTTCTCAAAAATCTTATTTTTTCGAAGTAATTTTTTTTCAAAAATGTAAATCGTTTTTAAAAAAAATAATAATTTTTGGTACGGGAAGTTCCAGCAATTTGCCTTAAGGCACGATGCCCTAATTGCCTTAAGACAGAATTCCACTTACAGCTAGTTTAATTAGTGATTGACTGTATTTTCTTAATTTATTAAACTTGGACGAGAATTTTTGCAATTTTTGCTAATTTTAATTCACATAAACATTAACTTCTGCTTCGGAAAGTTATTAAGCTTTCATTATTTTAAATACATATAACAATTTTTATTTTTTATGATATGTCTTTTTAGTTTGTTTGTTATATATACCAATTTTCATCCTTACAAAATTGTTAGTAAACTTATTTCCAGTTTGAAAAATTAGATTTAAAAATGTATTAATTTTATTCCAGTAAAATGAATTTAAGAAATGATTTTAAACTTATAAAATTTAAATTTGTTTCGTATATGTACATTGCACTTAATTCATACTTTTATCATCGTATATATACGAGGTCTGTTCAAAAAGTACCCGGAATTACTAATAATTAAATTTCGCGGGTCTGGAGTGTCTGATTGTCAAAATTTTTTTTTTATTGTGTTGGTATACATGCCCCTAAAGTATGATGAAATTTTCAGCTATATTCACTGTTTACTTTGTCTGTGGTAGTCGCTAAGGTTCGACGTGTTTTTCTGAGCTCGGCGATTTTTACAATGGAAGAATTGAAAAGTCAAAGAATTTGTATTAAATTTTGCGTAAAAAATGAAATAAAGTGTTGCAAAGTGCAAAAATTCACCAGATATGGCTCCGTGTGACTTTTTCCTATTCCCAAAGTTGAAGAGACCCATGAAAAGACGGCGGTTTTCCTCGATTGAAGAAAATCGCTGAGAGTGCTCAAGGACATATCAAAAAGTGAATATCAAGGGTGCTTCGAAAATTGGAAAAAACGCTGGCATAAGTGTATTATATCTGGGGAGGACTACTTTGAAGGGGACCACATTAATGTAGACGAATAAATAAATATTTTTTTGAAAAAACGAAAATTCCGGGTACTTTTTGAACAGACCTCGTATATATATATATATATATATATATATATATGATAGATTTCTTGGAGGGCGTAACATCAAGTAAAAAAAAAAAATAAAGTAAAGATTTTTTCAAAACATCTTTATTTATCCATACGTTTCGACGTAAAATTCTACGTCATCTTCAGTGGTTTTGAATTATTTATATTATCACTAACACATATTAATATAACTTGTAAAAATTAATAATTATAGACAAGCACTAACTGTCAGTAATTTCTGTAGATTATTCTGTTTGGCACTGGCCTCGGATGCAAGTGTATTACGTATAATATTTTATTTATTAATCACTTTTTATCTTTTATTCTTTTTATTTAAAAAAAGAAATTACTGACAGTTAGTGCTTGTCTATAATTATTAATTTTTACAAGTTATATTAATATGTGTTAGTGATAATATAAATAATTCAAAACCACTGAAGATGACGTAGAATTTTACGTCGAAACGTATGGATAAATAAAGATGTTTTGAAAAAATCTTTACTTTACTTTTTTTTTTACTTGATGTTACGCCCTCCAAGAAATCTATCATACATTTCAACATCAAATTTAAACATTTTTAACATATATATATATATATATATATAGATATATATATATATATATATATATAATTAAGTTCTCATATTAAATAGATTATATTTTTTTTTACTTACCAAATGTACTAATTTAATAGTCGTAGACCGCCTAACACTTCGTGCATGAACTTCTAAACTAAAACTATAAACTACAACTAAAATTATTAGCAAAATTCTCATATTTAGGTATATAACATTCACTTTATTTAAATCAACATATTATCCAAATAATTTTCTATTTCGAGTATTTATACTAAGAATTTTTATCTCACAGATAATATAATTATGATCTTATCGTCGTCTGAGATTTGGAGATCTGAGTTATCCAAATATAAATTAAGCCTAGTGTAATAATTTTGTATTATGCATAGTTTTTAATTTTATGGAAAATCTGGGTCGTTATGTGGTTTTATCCTTGAGCTAGATGCAAGTTCTGAAAATTTTAGTAATCCAGGGATTTGTGGTGAATGAATAAATTGATGAAAATAACACTGTGTACTCGTGGCCTAATTTTAAATTGAAATAGTATTTGTATGAGACATGTAAATCAATTCATTTGTATATGAAAAATGTATAATTTCCCAAAGTAGAAGTGTATGTTTTCACCAGAAAATCCGGCTAATTTCATGATTTATCGATGTTTCTACTGTTACTAATACAATTCCTGATATTATAAATTTGCTTGAAAGATTGGAAATCACATAATTTATTTATTTTTGGTGATATCGAAAACTTTATTTTTGATTTAAATAACAGTTAAAGTATTTTTTAAATAGCTAAATCTCAATTATTATTGTTTATGTTGATTATATACATGTATCAGAAAGTTTTTGCAACTTGCATAATGACTTGTAAATTTCGTTGCATTGCAATTCTAGTAATGGGATTAAAATAATTATATATATTTTGCACAAATAATTTTCACGAAAAGAGAAAAAATATGATATCTAAAATTTTATTTACAGAATTTAATTTTATAAGTTGAATAATCTAGTACATATTACATACAATAATTAAAGAACTGTTCTATACTATTTTTGTCAACCTTGACAAGTTTTAGAATTTTTCCCAAACTCTCTTATTTTACTGGTAGTATGCATATATTGATACCAGTCACAACCTTTGCAGTTATTTAAATGTAGTTCTTGAGGTTTTTCTTCATCAGGATCCCAAAATAAAAGCTTTGAATAAGAAAAAAATATAATAGTTGTATATTCTATACATATGTTGTGTAAAGTTTTATGTAATCATTATTTATTATTGTTCATAATAATTCTCGAACAGGGTCTTTGTGTCAATTTATTGTATTGTTTTCTGTTACCTTAAAAAATTTATATCTGGTTGATGACTCTGTGTGTAATTCTCCTATAATCATTGCTCCATTCTTTGGCCATCCAAATGGTTTTTCTTCGTCACAAATTTTAAAATTTTTATCACCTCCTAATGCTGCTACTATTGCCGCAAAACTCATTTCTTCGGCAGCAAATATTTTTATTGGTGGCCCTTCTCGTCGTCGCTGATATTTATCGAGTGAATCCACGAATTCTTTCACATATTTACCTAATTATAATTTGAAATATCATATACTGCAGGGAAAACTAGATTTTTTTTAAATATAATATTACCAGCAGAAAGTTGCTTCAGTTCAACTGTTTTGGAGAATGTTCTTATATAAGTGTCCACATATTCCTTCATATCTAACAAATCATCATAGGTCAACCAACTTGGGAGGTCTTTGTTATCATTTTTCTTGTTGAGAACAAAATTGTTGTAGTATTAATAAAAACAGTATATACTCGTATTTATATTAAATAACTTGTTAAGATTACTTACTAAGGATAGAAAGTGGTTATACAATTTCCACATATCTTCATCTTTAGCATCTTTTATATTTTTTTGTACTTTGCTTTTTAGTGCAGAAAACGTTGTATTTCTACCATCAAAGTTTTTTTTCACACTTTGGGAGAATATTTGTTTGCATTGATTATCATTATAGAAAGCCTTTAACTGCATTAAGAACACTATTATTATCGATATTTTTAATATATGGTTTTGGGACATATTTTTACTTACTGCTTTTTCGTAAGATTCATGTATTTTAGTTTTATTTTCTTCTGACTTAAAATCATCTGTTAAGCTCTTTTCCCGGGACTGAAAATATTAAAAAAAATTAAATATTAACCAATGAATTTTGTTAAAAATACGCTTCACAAAATCTATTATATCTTTTCTAAAGTGATACCTGACCAAGGAGACCAGCTAGAAGTAAATTTGCACTTAAAAGAGATCTTGGATTATTCATAGCCGTAACATTGATATTGTTTCTATTATTAATGTCTTCAAGAGTTTTTTCATAATGTCGTTTCAACCTAGCACCCATTATATACATTTGCTCTTTTCCCCTCTAGTATAAAAGTCGATACTAATTTAAAATTTTATATTTATTTGCAAATATATTTCATCACATATAATTATACTTACTCGTGTTAATTGACCTGTAAATTGACCTGTTACAACATTTTGTGCTGTGTTTTTTAAATCTGGAATTTTATCATAATATTCAGGTAGTGGTTCATGTTTCCCAGTATTAGCTATCTGAAAATATTTCAAATATGAAATTAATATGCAGATACAATTTCATATTTTTTTATAAAATTCTAATAATTAATCTCTATTAACTTATAATAACTAATATATAAATACTATAACTAAATAACTTATAATAACTAATTTCTAAATATTTACCACATAGACAGCTGATAGGAAACCTGGGCCCATTTTTGCATTTGATAAATGAGTTAAAGCTAAAGTTATAAATAAAAAACAACTTGATATCATTATAAATAAATTTATAAATAATATATTTTTATAAATAATAAATATTATATCAACTTTTTCTTAGCTTCTTTCGAAGCTTATTTGAAATATTCGTTGTAAGTTCAAGTTGAAGATATATATTTAAATATTAATTACTAAATAATATTATGCTTGTTTACCGAAATTTGGAAAAACATCATTTTGTCACATTGTGAAATTTATTTGGATTATGAAATTGTTGTTGTCAAATTTTTTGGTATTCGAAAATGATACACGAAATTAAAGTTGTTTTGGAAATAAAGTTCACATTTAATTATTTTTTATTATTTACATATGGTAATAATATATTTGTTTACAAAATTGTAATTATTTGTCTTTCAAGGGTACTCCGCGATTTTGTAGTTGGCTATTTGTAATTTTTATTTCTTTGACCAGTTTTTGAAATCCTTCCAAGGAACAAACATCGTTGCAATACTTATACTTTAATTCTTGAGGAGCATCTGATCCAAAATTCCAAAACAAAACCTAACTAGTGGGGTGGGTGGCATCGTGCCTTAAGGCAAATTGCTGGAACTTCCCGTACCGTAACGAAACGTTCGAGGAATATTGAATGTTTTCAAATAGATTATTATAAATATTGTATTATTGTCTAATATTTATAATAATTATATAAACTGAATTGCAGAGTTGAAATTATTTGTTTAAAGTATATTAGAACTATAGTCAGAATTAAAAATAAAATCTGAATTATTTTCGATATACAAAAAATTTAAAAAAAAAAAAAAAAAAAAAAATGGTACAAATTTTTTTTTTCCAAAATCAATTATTTTGTTAAGACAAGCAGAAAGTTCTTTGAATCAATTGAATCGGACGTTTAGTTCTCACAAAAACTGCCATTTTTTGTACATTTAGCTCTGTATCTCCGAAATGGCTGGGCCTGCCTTTGCGCGAAACTAATAACCCTTTCTCCCAATCATTACTAATGGAATGTTTTTTAGATCATTCAAATCGGATGCTCCGTTCTCTCAAAAACTCGATTTCTATTTTCTGCACTCTTTGCTCCTTATCTCCGTAACTGCTGGACCTGTTTTTGCCAAAAACTAATCAGCTCTTCTCCTTATTAATAGGAATCGAATGTTTTTTAAACCATTCAAATCGGTTGATCCGTACGCCCGAAAACGTGGACGAAAATTTGTATCCATACATACATACACACACACACACACACACACACACACACACACACATCCATTTTTTCTGAGGTATGCCAAAACGTTCAGAAACCTTCAAAACGTCGAGAAATGTAAAAATTTTCAATTCCGATTTTCGGCCCATTACAATAACTTACCCTACGGGAAGTTAAAAAATAAAATATAATCAAAAATATTTTTTCATGACTTCTTCATATGATATTATTTTTACCTTGACATAATATTCGTATCCATTTTGGCTCTTATGCAGTTCTATGCAATTATATATGCTTAGAAATGCATATTAAACACATTTAATTAGTCTTTACAATTTTCATATTTATATTGTAATATATTAAAAATTTTATTTTAATTTTGGTTAATTATTTATTCATGTATACTTTTTTAATATTTCTTTGTTTTTGTTTGATTCTGAAACTTCTAAAACATTTAAGGATTATTTAAATGAATGGAAGTGATGTTTTAGGCAAAATTTGAAAAACAAGACAAAAATAAATATAAAATATCCAGAGTCATTACAGTACGAATGTAATAATTTAATTTTTATATAATATAAGTATGTATTTATGAATACATATATAAATCTATATTGGAATTCCGCACTCATCAAAGTCATCATCATCATAAGATGTAATAGTTTCCTTCAGCATCTTCTCAAAATTTTCAAAAGTGCATCCATTTTGACAAGATTTATATTTTATCTCTTTTGGTTCATCTGCATTAGAATTCCAATGTAAAACCTGCAGTGAAATATATAAAAAAATAAATAAATAAATTATAACTGAAATCAAAATTAAATGTAGCCATAGAATATATTTAGGCACGATGCTGCATTTACATCAGTTGAATAGTAAATAGTCTTTAAGATAATAAATTAGGAAATTCGTTTTTTTACCTTTCAATAACATGGAAATAAAATTAGTTTATATAGGGTGTATTCACTAAATTTTAAGAAATAAAAAAATATTCTTTGGTATTTCCAATTTTGGTAACTTACTTTGACAAAATGCTGATCTTGACTTTTATGTAGTTCTACAATCAAAGCTGTGCCATGTTTTGGAACAACCATGTCAAATTTACTTCCACAAATATTATTTTCTGGTTTAGTTAAAACTGCAATGGCTGCTGCAACTATTAATTCATCAGCACACAATAATTGTAGAGGAGGTTGTCCATTCTGATTGGTCTTGATTTTTCTGAATTCTTCTAAAATGCTATTAGTATAGGCACCTAAAATTTAAAGATATAACTTCATAATTGTTATAAACTTTTGGTTCCAGCCAAATCAGAAGTTTCAGATTTGAAATCGTCTTAAACAGCCTGATGTCAAGCAGTAGTGACATAGGTTTTTGCTAGGAAATATAGTTAGCAATATGTTGTCATTCAGTCTATTAGAGTTTGATCAATAGAAACTACTTGCAACAAAGTAACTATTAATTTTTTTAATTAAAAATATTTTACCTGCTGATATTTTTTTGGCATATGTATATTGGAATAATGATGCTACAAATAATTTACTGCTTTCTTTCATATCTAACATCAAAGATTCAGTTAACCAATCATCTAAAGGTTTACCTCCAAATCGCTGTATAAAAATTAAAAAAAAAAAAGATTTTTTTTAATTTTATTTATTACTATATAGTATCCTATTTTATTAAATCTACCTGTGCTTGAAAATATTCATGTATTTTCCACATATATTGGGGTTTTATAGGATCGTAGGATAATAATAAATATGGATTTTTAGGTTTTTCGAGACCAATATTATTTCCTAATGTTTCTCTTGTATTATTAAATGGTCTGAATTTAAGAAAGTCATGTTCAACATCCTTAAGCATTTCTTTAAAAGGTTGACAGGTTCCATTTCCATATATTTGGCTAATCTAATATAATAAAATAAGTATAATAGAAAATTGAAGTTCAAATATTAGTTTTTTATAAAGTTTTTCAATGCTTACCGAATCATGAGCTAAAGGTATTGCATTTTTATTTGTCGTTAAATTTTTTTTATATTCCTAAAAATGTAGCAATATTATATGAAGACATCAGGTTTGAAAATTTTAATTTTGGTCTTTGAATTAATTACTTTAAAATTAAGAACTACTTTCAAATTTTAATTTCAATAGCAAAATGTGTATTTGATGCTGGTTTATGCTATTTGTATTATCATTTAATCAAAATATAACTCAATACCTTCTTCAATAATCCTTCTTTAACTAAAGAGGCACTTTTCTTACAACTTTCTTGAGATATTGATTCAATTTTTATTTTATCGTCTTGAAGATCTTGATTATTGAATAAACTGTTTTTGTACCATCTTCTAATTTTTATGCCAAGATTGTACATATCAAGTTTACCTTCCTATAGGAATAATTTTAAAGCATTAATTTTATCATTGAAAATATATTATAATTTAGATTTTTTTTTATAATTACTTCCGTTAAATCTTTCATTTCAAACGGTCGTATTTCAAATGGTTTCTTCAATTTGATATTTTCAATAAGTTCTTTTAATTGATTTTCTTCTGGAGGCGTTTGTTTTCCATTGCGAAAAATCTAAAAAAATAATTTTAATAAGTATTTATACCCAAATATAGTAGATATTTTGTTAACACAAAAATTAAAATTATAATTCTAAATATTTTTAAAGGTGTAATATTAAATAAATGATTCTTTTTAAGTATAACCAATGAATCTATATCAATTTTTACTCATTTTTACCACTTTAGCCATCAATAATGTAGAATCTGTTGATGCCTGACTCGTTAAAATATTTATGCCTAATATTTCTATACAACATAAAAATATTAATTCAAATTTCATTTTGCGATTGTTTTTGGCAAAATATATTATTACTCAAGTAAAGTATTACTTTACAGTGAAATATTTTATATTATTTATAAAGTTATTTTCAAAAACTGTCAATTTATGCAATAACAAATTAATAAACAACTTTGTGAGTATTTTCAAAATAGGAAACACTTCCAAATTAAATTGAGCGAAATTTTCAATACCGATGTTGAAATGTATGTAAATAAATTTTGCATAATTTGTTCTTTATTTTGCCACTAACTTTTAACGAAATGTTTGATGGTTTCATTTTTCAACACAATCTTAATTTACTTAAAATATGCTTGAAATTGATATTACGTATCATATTGATCTAATATTGATTTTGTCATTATTTATGACTTTTTCATAAATCTACCTTTAATAATATATTTTTCTTTAGTAAATAAAGTTAGAAAATTTTAATTTATGCAATAAACTTTATGCTAAATATATTGAAAAACAAAGCATGTTTTAAATAAATATCTTGAAAAAAATCTAAATGTCGTCAAAAATGAAAATTATCAATTTTAAGAATAGCATTCATGCTTTTTGCTTTTTGCTCATAAAAAAGTCATTTCTGAGAAAAAAATATTTAACTAACTGTTATAATTTATCATATACTGAAATGATATAATACTGTATTTTTTTAATATTTATGAGTTTTTACAGATTCGACTTTCAGTCTAGATTTTTTATTATTTAAATTATTTAAATTAAAAATTTATTAGCTTATTTTAAAATTCACATTTTCTGAAAGAAAAATGTATAGCTTTCAAAAATAAAATTGAGATATTTAATTATTTGTATATTGATTTAATGCCATTTATACATTTTAGGACATTTAGTAGTCTTGAGAAAAACAACACTAATAATATATAAAGTTTGTTAAGAAATTAGGAAATTTTATGTGTATAGTTAACATATTTTTTATTATTGAAAATGCATTACAGCTATTTATACAAACAATACTTTGACATAAAGTATAATAATTATTTTAATTTACGTTTACTTTGTTTTGCAGAGTGCACTATCTCTCAATTTACTTTCTGAAATTGCACTATTTTTTAAAAATTCCTTAAATTTTTCAAAAGTGCATTCGCCTTTGCATTCATCATATTTTATCTGCTTCGGCTCATCTTGGTTAGGATTCCAATAAAAGACCTAAAACAAAAAATATCATTATAAAAAACAATAATGCTGAAAATGCCTACTTGAACAAGTATAAAGAACAAAATATTTCGCAATTTTTTTTAAATCTAATTTCGTAAAAAATAACCAATTTTTGAAAAATTGATGGAGTAATTATCGATATAATTGCATGTAATATTTTATTCTTTTATTTATAAACTTACTTTAACGAAATACTCAGATTTTTTCTTGTTCTTATATAATTCTGTGATCAAAGCTGTTCCATGTTTTACTACACCTGGTTCAAATGTTTTGTCACAAATTTTGCTTTTGGAATTTATTAAAGCTGATACTGCTGTAGTAACTACTATTTCTTGAGCACATAATAGTTGAATGTCTAGTGATTGAAAATTTTTCATCTTATTTTGAAATTCTTCTAAAATCGTATTTGCATAAACTGCACCTAAAATAAGATAAATGGCATTTTATGGTCACTTACGCATATTCTACAAATATTTTGAATAAAAATGGTAAAAATACAAATACAGAATTTTATAAAATTTACCTAATTTATAAAAATAATTTTAACATCATCTTAATAGAACAAATATCATGAGCATAATTTTTTCAAGAAATATTATGTTAGTTCCAAATGTTAAAATCAATATTTCTTACCTCCTGATGCTTGTTTCAAATAATTCCATTCAAATAATACTTTCATAAGTAATTTATTACTTTCTTCCATATCAAATATCATATTTTCAGTTAACCAATCCGGTAATGTTTCGTTAGAATAGCGCTAAATAAGATTTAATAATTTTAAATAACATAATATTGGTTAATAGTATATTACGTATTTGTTAAGTAGTTTTTAAATCTTTATTTTCCTGAGAGTTAATATTCATTTTTTCAATTTTTTGTTCAAGAATTCAACCGTTGTGAGTTTTTGAAATTTTTTATCAATTAAATTGAAATGATAATTATTTGCTTTTGAAAACTATAAACAATCGTTTTTGCTAAAATTTCTGGTATATTTGTGATTGATTTCTAATGCATCACTAATATGATAGTGAAAAATGAATGACTTTACAGAATTAAAATAATTTATTCAGAAGCTCTAAATATTTTGCTATAAAACTTACTAGTGCTTCATAATATTCGTAAATTTTCCAAAGATGTTGGGCTTTAATTGGATGAAGATCAGGAGAATTGTGTACATATGGACCTTGTGGATAAAGATTTATTTTCAGCTTTTCTACTAGTTTATTTCTTGTATCAAAAACGAATTTAAAATCGATAGGTTTATATGGGACTCCATTCATATTGTAGAGACTTTTACAGCCATCTTCTTTATATAAAAATTCTAGCTAAAAGAAAATAGGATTAATATTTTGTCATTTATAAAGCTTCCAATTAAATTTTTACCAAACTATCTAATGATGAATTCTTTACTGAATCTTGGTATTTTTTCTTGAATTCCTGAGAACATAAACAAAAATTTTAAATTTAAAAAATTAATATCAGTATTAGTAGCTAATAGTACTTTTCTATTGTTATTTCATTACATTTCCCAATACTCCGTTTTTAACGAACTTTGCGCTTTTTCTACAACCTTCATGAGATGTTGATTGCACTTCTATTTTATTTTTAATTTCTGGTTTATTTGGGAAAATCTTGATTCATACCATCTTCGTATTTTTGCTCCAAAGTTATACATATCAACTTTACCTTCCTATATTCAAAAATACCATATTGTATAATTTTATTGTCTTTGTATTTGAATTAAGGAAATTATATTTACTTCTGTTAATTTTTTCACATCAAACGGCTCCACCTCAAATTTTAGTCTTTCGAGGAGAAATTTATCAAGTTCAGCTTTTTCTGGAGGAGGTTGTTTTCCATTTCTAAATATCTTCCAAATAGTAAAAGATGAAAATAGTTAATTCCGACTACAAGTTATATTTGGTATTTAAATATTTATTTATAGCAATAGCTAATTTAAATTGTTTAAAAAAAACTAACAAATTAAAATGTATATGTCAATTACACGTTTCAAATGGTAAATTTGTCATTTTTTGTAATATACTTTAGTGTCGTAAGTCTAAAAATAAAAAAAAAGAATTTCTATTTAATAATAGAGAGGGTTAATTATTATTTACACAGCATAAGAATATTTATTTTGAGAAATTATATAATCACTATTATATGTTATTATTTTGTTAAAAATTATATGTTACTTATATTAAATAATTGAAATATTTAAAATTTTATTTTTACCACTTTTGCCATCAACAATTCACTTTCTGATACATTAGAACTGTTAACAGTTCTTATACTAAAAATTTGAAAACAACAAGCTACAGCTACTAAAATTAATTTCATTTTCAAACCATACACTAAACAACAATAAATGTTTTTATTTTATTTTAATAGCCAAAATTTAAAATAATATTGCGAATAAATATAAAAACGATTACAAAATATTCCATGATGAAATAATTATTAACAAAAATATACAAATATTTATTAATGCAATTTTAGATTGGTATTCTTGTGGACATTAGTATTTATTAGTATAATAATGAGTAATAAATAATAAACACTGGAATTAATTAATTTTTGGTAATACTATTATTCTAATACTTTATTGACAAGTTATAATATGATATGGTTTATTTAAGGTCGTTCAAATAATTTTAATTTAAACATTTGTCTTGCAAAATTATAAAACTTTTTTTAAAAAAAATTGGGTTTTAATACAAAATAATGACAGGAAAAAATTTAATTTGTTTTTACACTTTTCTTGGCAAAATATTATGAAATTTATTACGCAATATCTCTTAAAATTTTATATGTTTTTTTCACCCTTTAAAATTGAAAATGTTTTTTTTAATAAATTTTAGTAAAATTAAAAAAGTATATATTAGTCTAAAAATTTATGAAGTAATCCCAAACTAACTAATAAATGGTTTCAGTAGTTTAGTTTATATGATAGTTATTTATATTATTGTAGTTAAAAGCATGAAACTTACTTTAAAAAGAGATATTAGTAATATTTTAAAAATACGTAATGGTCTCGCATAATTTAGATTTATGCATATTAATTTTTTAAATAGTTATTTATATATTTTAGAATTTTTTATGGATTGACATCTTTCATTTTAGTTTTACTTTAAATTAATAATTTTAACTTTGTTATTCCGTTTATATAATTCTTAAAAATTAGACAATGTTACAATATTTTTAATAATCTATTAGAGAACATTCAGTATTCCTCGAACATTTCGTTACGGTACGGGAAGTTCCAGCAATTTGCACGATGCAAGTTAAGTCATGATGCCATACACCTCACTAGTTTTAAATATGTATTTCTCTCTGAATATTCTCAATGCAACGGAATCATAATTAAGTTTTTATAAATCGTTGCTTTTGTTATAGTATCACTGTACTTTTTAAATTCATGGCTTTATTTACTTATTGTTAGAAATTCATAATTTTACCAGAAAATCCCATTTGCTAATTTTCAGATTTTTGACGTTTTAAGTTATTGTTGCACTCTTATTTTATTTTATTTGTATATTTTTCGTTCTTTATATCTTTTACGTGAATTGACATTTATCCACTGCTAATCAAATCATTTTGGCCTTTATTATTATCATAGTATATTTTCCAATCATAAATTTATTAAAAAACCAATTATTCTAGTAAGAAATAATATAGCAAAATATATTTTTATATAATTTTATTGAAACCATAAGTTTTATCTCTAATCTTATTTTTTCGCTTCTACATTAGGTCTAGGAGTACCCTTTTTACAAGCACTTTGATTCCAAACGTTTTTCACTTTTTTAACTTTAGGAATAGTTTTCATCACGTCGACACCAGCTTTTGCTTTCTTATTTTGTGAACTTTGGGAACATTCGATAAGTTGTTCTTTATTTATTCTAACTGGTTCTACCAATTTTATGTAATCGTTCAGGTACAATTTATCATCTGGGCTATCTTTTATCTTCAACTCTGTAGGCTCACAATCTTCTTTGCCATTTAGATAAAACACCTGATAATAGATAGTTGGAGATTAACAAACTTGTTAAACAATAATAAAAATAATAATTGCCAGTAGGGAATGCAATACCGATGGAAAATTTCAATACCGGTATTTCGATAATTTTTCATTTTAAAACCGGAATACCGGTAAATTACCGGTATTTTTATTATCTTAAACAAACTTAAACAAAATTGAAAGTTACTAGTACAAATATAAAAAATGTATGTACAACTACAACTATATTCAAATAAACATTAAAAACAATAAAATAAAATAATAAATTTATTTTTTTAAATAATAATTTAACAAAATTACATACAATTTAATTAATTCATTATCACTATCGAGTATATTGAGTACTTTTCACCAAAAACAAACTTATGAGTAAGAAAGACCAAAAACTCATAAAAGATCATATTACATTATTATAATAAACTGTATTGTCTGTATCCGATATGTTAAATTAGCATAATCTTTAATATTTAAAAAAAAAACTACACTAATTTAAGATTGGATACTTTGTCGAGATAAATAATAAGTTACTATAATTTTTGAGTATTGTTATTTAAAACTATGTATTTTCAACTTCGAAAAAATAGTATTTTCAAACTTCGAAACGTTTTCGAAAAATAATTTTTATAATTGTAATAAGAAGCAAAAATATTTAATAATTATCATAATTATTATGTATAAAGTTAGAAAAAATAAAGATTACGCAGGGGTAATCCGTATGATATAAAATATTTTGGCGCAAATATCACTTAAAAAACTGTTACATTTTTACATAAGATAAAACAAGCATCATTATCTATCAGTCCAATTCTGTTTATTGTAACACGATATGAAGCCCTTTGTAAAGCAATAAATATTCAGTTTAATGACGAGTTGAGATAATATTTGACATTTGTTTATCTTATAGAATCACTTGAAGATATAGCTGTTTATGCGATTATGGAATTAAAGATAAATTGGTTCCGAGAAATTTAAACTTTAGTGTATTATGTATCAAATAGCGCTTATGTAAAAATACCGAAAATACCGGTATTTTTGGAATAAATATCGGTAAAAATACCGCCGAAAAATCGGGCGGTTTACCGGTAATTCGGTATACCGGTATACCGGTATTGCATTCCCTAATTGCCAGTGAAATTTAGCTTGTTAACTTTTTTCCAAAAAACTTTAATTCAATATTGAATGCCCTAACTTTATTTTTGGATTTTTCTGACTTCTATCTACTTACTTTGACGAAATGCTCGTCAGCGATTTTGTCCTTGTGCAATTCGAACAGAATAAGAGAACCATAATTTGGTAAGTCCACTAAGAAAGTATGTCCACTTCTGATGTAACCTCCAACACCACCAAGGGCGGCGACTGCCGGAGCAATGGTGGTGTCGTGACCACAAAATAGACGAAGTCTTTTCGGATCCTCGTCTTTTAACTTGATAAATTCCTGGCATTCTTTGATGACCATGTCCACATAGATACCTGGAAAGATATTAAAGTTGCTTAAGTCGTACCACCACTTAAGTCTTTTTAAAGTTTCTTAAGTCGTGTCAACGCCTAAGTCGTACCCCGGCTGTATTTTGTCTGATAAATATAAATTACATAAATGGTAATCTGAAGGCTATTGTATTCACATATGGTAAAGTTGTTTAAGTCGTACCACCGCCTAAGTCGTACCCCGCGCTAAATTTTGTCTGACAATTATAAATTACATACATCATTTGGTACTGTTAAATACAACTATTTATATGAGTATATAATGTTTACAAATTGAATGCTACTATGGGACCGATTCTGCCATATACCAGAAAAATGTTATGGCAAGGCTATGTTATTGAACAACTTTCCATACTAAATATTGACAAATCCATGTGGTTGCTGTGGCAGTGAGGTGTTTTTCTCAGGTTGTCAGATAAAAAACCTAACCTAGAAACCGCACAAGTGTCACAAAAACGATCTTAGATAACAGGGTCTTTCTGACTCAGCTTCATAACATACGAATTGACGTTGCAGTTTATGTGTAAAACGCCTGAATGCACAACAAATACATGACATTTTGACAATATTTAGTATGATTCAGTAGCATAATGTATGAAACATGGCCTTGCCATAACATTTCTCTGTTATGAGGCAGAATCGGTCCCAATTTTTACATTAAAGTTGCCTAAGTCGTACCCCGGCATAAAATTTGTCTGGCAAATATGAATTACCTTTTTGGTGCTGTTTAAAACTACTTTTTACATAAATATAAAAAAGTTTACAATTTGAAGACTACTATATTCACATATGGTAAAGTTGCTTAAGTCGTACAACAGCCTAAGTCGTACTTTTGTGGCTATATTTTTGGTCTGACTATAATAAATTTCATCATTTTGTACTGTTAAATAGAATTGTTGAAATGAGTATAAAAAAATTTACAATTTGAAGACTACTATATTTATATATGATAAAGTTGTCTAAGTCGTACCACTTCGTACTTTGGTTATATTTTTGATCTGACTATAATAAATTACATCATTAAGCACTGTTAAATCGAATTGTTTATATGAGTATGCAAACGTTTACAATTTTGTGGTAAAGTTGCCTAAGTCGTACCACTGTCAAAGTCGTACCTTGGTTATATCTATTATAATTCTTTCAATTACACTTTATGAAATATGAATGAAAATATAAGCTAAGAACTAAATTTTCAAAATATTTCTGAAATTTAAAAATGACAAAAATAGTTAAGTTTAGATTAGGAATATTTAAGGAAATAAATATTTTGTATTTGGATTAAGAAACTATTCGCTTAATAAAAAATGTTGACTTTAATTAGACTTAGAAGAAACATTCAGGATAGATTTTACGCTTCAAGAAATTTCTAAAATTTAACATTGTAGCTAAAGCAGAAGCAATTATTTTTTTTTATTCCGTAAAATAATTATCGAACACGACTAGAACTAAAATTTTAATACAACAAAATTGTTTATAATATTTCTTATTTAAATGTTTTTTTATTACCTCCAGACATTTTTTTCATGCAAGTCGTTGCAAATATAATTTGCAAAAAGTTTTCGATACATTGCTCCATTTTCTCCATGACTTCATTTGTAATGTAACATGGTAATTGTACTTTGGCATTTTTCTAAAAATCGAAAAAAAAATTATACAGTTATACAAGTTATACATATATAATTTCCAATGGCTTTTCAATCAAAGAGAATTTTATTGTACCAGAATACACCCCTGTTATTATATATCAATAGAAAGCTAATAAAATTTACAATCGTCTGTGTTTATTAATTAATAACATTTAGAACAAATTATACAAATTAATTTGTCCAAGTTG